CCAAACAAAATGTAGGAGTTCCAGATCACTTTGAATATGTTAAAAGCCATCTTTGCTGCACTTATGCAGTTGACGATTATGATGTATATGAGCAGAGTAAGGGGTTGGGGAGTTGGAGTTTGAACAGAGAAAAAGCTTATTCAGGAAAATGGTAATATGTCCCAACACTGTACCATAAAAGTGATTGAAAAGATTTGAAATATAATTTCAAAAACCCTACATCATCAGACCATTATGCTCTTTTCTTCCAGATTCACTCCACACCCCCCCCCCCCCCCCTCCCATAAGAAATTATTCATTGTATGTGACAAACACATACAGGTAAATACCTCCATCCCAAGTAAAGTAAACAAAATCTTTAGTAATTTTAATTCCTAAACTACATTTTAAGTGTTATGACACACATTTTAACAAAACATATCTTCTTTTGGTTACGATTTTTTAATTATAAAAAGCGGCATCGCGAAAATATGTGACAATTGAAAATTTGTCTGTTTCGTGCAGAAACATTCACAAATCTACTTGTTGTTGATTTTGATTATATCAAATGAAATATTTTTTTATTATTTTAAGATTGTTACTCATGGCTATTTCAACAGGCATCATAAAACAAAATTTTCAAACTTGTAATTTACGGCAAAATTTACCGTTGTTAATGAAACTTTTTGAAGACAGAGTTGACTGGTATTTATTTGTACAAAATAGAGTTAAGGTTGGTCAATATCTTCTTTAATAAATTCTTTGCATCACGGGAAACTTGTTATCAATATTTTTAACTTTTTGAAATTTTATTCGGACATGAGGACTGATGGAAAGGACATTTATCTCGGACCGCATGATTTTTATTCAGCCAGGACCGAGGACCGACGGACTTTCGCACAGACTGTAATAGTGACCTTTGACCTTGTGACCCCAAAATCTATAGGGTACTTCTACCCAGTATGGACAATCATCCTATGAAGTTTGAATATTGTGGGCCACAAGGAAATTAAGTTATGCTCCGGAAACTGTTTTCAGTTTTAAGGCGATAGTGACCTTGACCTTTGACCTTGTGACCCCAAAATCAATAGGGGTATTCTACCCAATATTGACCATCATCCTATGAAGTTTGAACATTGTGGGCCAAATGGAACTTAAGTTATGCTCCAGAAACCAAAAATTAGATGTAAATCCTTTATTTCATGAAAAAAATGCACAACAGAAAAAATCTACACTTATTAGGTTTTTTGTGTTGGAGACAAGGAAAAGCAACCGAAAAGTTTAACAATTCCAAAAAAATGTCAAACATGTACGTATGGACAAAAATGTTTTGTACATGTAAATAATAAATATCAGAAAGTTATTTTTAGTATTAGCATCTATTTAGAATGGAGCATTCTAATTTTTTAAACATTTATATAAATGAAGTTGAAAAACTTCTTCATCACAAAAAAAAAAATGTCATGTATAAATTTTGACTTTTTTATTATGTTTCCCATGTGCGTTAGCTTAATACAAGGGTTGTTCAATATATAATGAGACTGTGTTCATATCTTTTATTTGATACATTCAACAGTTATAACAAAGTCCATTCATTACTCAATACTATCTGAAAATATTAAAGTTATCCATAAAACGACTTTAAAGTTACAGAATTTATAAGAAAGTCATGTTTGCACTATCGCCCCCCCCCCCCCACAACAATATGTTGTGACGTCAGTAACGTCATTCACGCAGTTAACGTGGCTATAATGTTTTGTCACATTCATAGCTTTTTTTATTTTAAAATATGCTCCCGAATGCAGAACACATCTTTGGTGGCATGCAACCCACTGATTGATGATAATGTCTTCATACCACACACTTGTTGTTGACTTTATAATACCATTTACGGCAGTCTGTAGGTCTTTCAGTGTGTCAAATCGATGGGCCCTTCAATAGTTTAGCATGAGGGAATATGGCCAAGTCAAACGGTGCGAATACATAAATACATTGTTTTTAGACAAAATGGTGATACTATTTTCATTATTTTATAACCTTAATGCATTTATTTACTGATAAAAATTGTAGCAGGAATTATAAATGTTTTAAATCTAAATTAAAAAATTCTTATTTTTCATTATGCTTTTTATTTTGATCCAAAACGCCAATATGTTATACAGTGTAACTTCTGAAAACCGAACACCCCTGGGACTTGTCAAAAAGTTCGGATTTCAGAGGTTTCTGGAATTCAGAGGTTTATGATAATGTGGACAAGACCAAGCCACTAAATGTCAAGGAAAATGTGGCCATTACTGTAATATCATATATCATAGTCTTTTAATCAAGATAAAGATGTGAATGAAAAGAATACATTTATATTTAACACTTTATTTAATACTTTATAATGATAATACTTATATAAAACATACATATATTTTTATGTTTATGCATGTTAGTTACATATTTGCATCTATTTCTACGTTGCTTAATCTGAATAGGTAGCACATACATTAATAATCAATGTTTTACTGTAAATAATAGGTAGCACATATAATTAATGTTTCATTGTAAAATATGCATTTCAGTCACATAAATATGCCTGTTATAATAATCTTTATATCTCATGATAAACAAATTAATTGTCTCTATCTGTTACACTATAATGTACTATGAAACTTATGCAAATTTCTGAAAAGACCATTAGTTAAAGATTGTTCTGTCTTCATTTTAATCAATTAAAGTTTGCTCATTTTTATCTTACCTCCAAATGCCTTTGAATTTCAATCAGTTTGTAAAAATGTTGTTAATTCCATAAACTTACATATTGTCCGCTGCTGGTTAATTAATTATTACCTCAAATGCAATTAAATCCCTAAAGACGTTTGATGCATACATTGTCCCAATTAATAGTCACTTAATCCGCTAATAGACACTTCAAATTAACTGACCGCCGTAAATTACTTTAATTAACCGCATCACTTCAAACATATCGTTTCACAGTTTGTGATTTTAACGCATGTCAAATTACACGATCACCGCTAATTAGTAAACATCAATAGGGAGATTAAATCTTCCTGCAGGGTAAACATTCTCGATTTACAATGTATTTCACACCTTTGGATATTTCCAGTTTTTGGAGGTAAAATTGCATTGATTTTACGAAAATATCGTCCGGAATTCAGAATTTAGAAGTTCCGGAATTCAGAAGTATTATATTAATAGAAAATAGAAGGGAAAAAATTGGGTCCGAAAAAATTGTTCAGTTTTTAGAAGTTTCCAGATTTCAGAAGTTCCGGAATTCAGAAGTTACACTGTACTTAAATTACCAAACTTCTACTACGATTATTCAACACTGAAATATTTACTTATTTGTCTCATGCTTAAATATTTCTTCAGTATGCGATGCACAGTTCCTACCCTCACATCAGCCATTTCTGCAAGCTCCTCAAACCGTTAATAGCCTATCTGTATCAAGCGCTGACTGAATTGACGCGACGCTTGACGCTTTCACAGATTTTTTTCTTCGGACCTATATTTGTCATTCAGGGATGTGACTGTCCCTCAGAAAACTTTTTGTGCCACCTAAACACTAACGTACGACAAACACTGTATTTCCCCTTAGTCTCTTGCAACATTGTAAATGTTTCCGTCGCTGATTTGCCTAAATGCAAGCAAAACTTAATGTTCGCCTGCACTTCAAGACGTTCTTGCGTCATAATCTAAACGAGACAACGTGTCAGATTAACCGTGAACAAATGTTGATAACATCAACGTTTTACGACCAAATGACATCATCTTTCACATGACGTCACTGATATAACGTAAAAACTATTGGTGGAGTTTTACGTTATTGCAAAAATTGTTTCTTACTTTTCTTTATATTATAAGATACGTCTTTAAAAGACAGAACAGATGGGAGGGATATCACGTTACTATGGTTATTGAAATTATCATTTGTATGTCACGTTATATTTTTTCTACCAATGCCGGTAATCTGAACAAGAATAAGTTATATTTAATAATGATACCACATTTTGTTATATTTCATGCTAGAATAAAAAAAATATATGAAGACAGCCTCACTATATATTGAACAGCCCTCGTACACGTTTGACTGTACTTGAATCTTTTTACTTTTCTTAAAATCTGAGTAAATTTTTCTGAAGTTTGATTTTCTAGAAATATTTTGTCTCATCTGGAGGCATGCAGCTTTAAAACGAAGATAAACATAAATTTTATAATACTAATTATAAGTACCAATAATTCTTCTCAAAAGAAAAGATTTTCCAGTCCCTGCACTGCCAGTGAAGAAAATGTTTTGTCCACTTTTTACACTTTCCAATACAGTTTTCTGTTCCTTAGTCAACTTGACTGGGTCAGTTACTGCTTCTGGTGTAGCCCCTGCTTCTAGTAAACTACTTTCTTTCAATCCTGAAAATATTCTTTTCTTTTCGTCATATAAATATTATTATATACATGCAAAAACATGCGAGTTTAAAATTAACTTGCAAGATCTGAATAAAAATGTTTATTATTTGTTTATTTGTAATTTTTAATATATTTTGTACATCAATTTCCACTGAAGGTGTATCATAAAATTTAACAAGAGGGCCATGATGGCCCTTATATCGTTCACCTGATTATTGAGGCTCTGAATTAACATTGTTAGCAACAAATGAAAGGCAGATATAATGCCATCAACTTAAACTGATATCATAACAGGTGAGCTAAAAATGCAGGAGACTGATACCAGTCATTCCCTACCTAAACAAATATAAATGTGGAAATCATCTTTATTAAAGAATTTGTCTGTAGATTTTTTTAAGTCAGACAGACATATAGACAGCTGAATCAACAAAAAAATCTAATCTTAAACTAGAAATGTGTCATCATGCCACGGATGCCCCCGCATGCAGCCAAAATTTCAGAAGGTGCATTAATTTTTTTTTTTCATTTTAAGTTCAAAGCCCTTAAAACTTTTCAATGTTAACACAAACCATTTCCATACAACGTTCAAGGCACTGAAATTATTCAGTCTTAACCTTTAGAAAGAGCATATTGCATATTTGTAGCCAAAATAATGGCTAAAAGAATGAGTGCTGAAACTGAAAGTTCAAAATTTTCCAACATTCAGGAAAGATAAGTTTGTCTATATTCATTGAACCACAACCAAATTCAAACTTAAACTGCTTATTCCTTAGAAGTTAGATGTATCTATATTATTTTCAAAGTGAAAGGGACATAACTCTGCCAAAAAACCATCAAACCATGACCAAATTCCAACTTAATCTGCCCATTCCTTTGACATATCCATATGTCAAATTAAAATTGAATATGTAACACTGTTAGGTAGATAATGAACAGAAACTGTAAATTTCATATTATTTTCAAAGTGAAAGAGGCATTACTCTGCCAAAAATCATTGAACCATGACCAAATTTGAACTTGACCTGGGCATTCCAAAAACATATCCATATGTCAAATTTGAGTTGAATGTGTTGTACCATTGGGGAGATAATAAACGGAAACTGAAAATTTCATATTACTTTCAAAGTGAAAGGGGCATAACTCTGCCAAAAATCATTGAACCATGACCAAATTTGAACTTGACCTGCGCATTCCATTGACGCATCCATATGTCACGTTTGAGTTGAATGTGTTGTACCTTGAGGGAGATAATGAACGGAAACTGAAAATTTCATATTATTTTCAAAGTAAAAGGGGCATAACTCTGCCAAAAATCATCGAACCACGACCAAATTTGAACTTGACCTGCGCATTCCTTTGACGCATCTATATGTCAAGTTTGAGTTGAATGTGTTGTACCTTGAGGGAGATAATGAACGGAAACTGAAAATTTAATATTATTTTCAAAGTGAAAGGGGCATAACTCTGCCAAAAATCATCGAACCATGACCAGATTCGAACTTGACCTGTATTTTCTCATGACATATCCATATGTCAAGTTTGAGTTGATTGTGTTGTACCGTTGGGGAGATAATGAACGGAAACTGAAAATTTCATATTATTTTCAAAGTAAAAGGGGCATAACTCTGCCAAAAATCATTGAACCATAACCAAATTCGAACTTGACCTATATTTTCTCATAACATACCCATATGTCAAGTTTGAGTTGAATGTGTCCAACCGTTCTTGAGATAATGAACGGAAACTGAAATTTCATATTATTTTCAAAGTAAAAGGGGCATAACTCTGCCAAAAATCATCGAACCATGACCAAATTCGAACTTGACCTGTATTTTCTCATGACATATCCATATGTCAAATTTGAGTTGAATGTGCCCAACCGTTCTTAAGATAATGAACGGAAACTGATGATGACGGAATGACAGAATGACGGAAGGACGGAAGGACGGAAGGATGGAAGGACGGAAGGACGGAAGGACGGAATGACGGAACAGGGTAACACTATATGCCCCGGCCATTACATGGCGGGGGCATAAAAAAAAACACAAGAGGGCCATGATGGCCCTTACATTGCTCACCTGATTATCAAGGCTCTGAATTAATGTTATTAGTAATGAGTGAAAGGCAGATACATGTATAATGCCATAAACTTAAACTGATATCATAGCATTCATATCTGCACCTGAAATAGTGCAAATGTTAATAAGTTTTATTCATATAATGATTGTCTTTTATGTGCTGTAGGTTTTTTGACAACCTTTCTAACCAATGTTTAGGATATTTGGGCTAACAATGTTAACCTCTAGAGTGATAAAGTATTTCCATTAATTGGTCTGTGTGAACTAGATAATAACCATGGATAACCCATGTTAAAAGCTATTAGCTAGAAATGATTAAAACAAACCTTCCGACAAATTTTCAGGATATTTGGGATGAAAATATTACCACTAGAATGTAAACAATATTTTTCCATAATTTGGCTTGTGTGACTTAGTTTTTGACCACAGATGGTCCATATTCAAACATGACCTAGAAACCATCTAAACATTACCTTTCTGACTAATTTCCAGGGCATTTGGACTTAAACAGTATCCTCTACAATGTTAGCAAGGTTCTTTCGTATTTTAAGGCTGTGCAACCTAGTTTTTGACCACAGATGAACAATGTTTGATCCTGAGCTAGAAATCATACAAACAACCTTTCTGACCAATTTCCAGGATATTTGGACCAAAACAGTAGCCTCTTAAGCATTAACAAGGTTTTCAATATTTGGGCTGTATGACCTACTTTTTGATTCAAGATGGCCCATATTCAGACTTGAGCTAGAAATCATCTTAACAACCTCAGGGCGTCCAATCATTTCCGATTACAACTAGAAATGTGTCCATAGAACACGGGTGCCCCCACTCGTCCTTGTTCTGTCAATCTCATGAGACTAAATAAAATATTTTTCGGACTACATGTGCCGCAAGTTGAAAACTAAAAATATTTTACTAAGTAAAGGGCAAGAACTTTACAAATACTGAATAAATCCACAAGCAAACCCCAAAGTGCATAAGTACATATGCTGACCAACATTCTTGTAAACTTTTTGAGCTATGCATGAACAAGTTGAAAATTGCAAATTTATACTACTGGTTTCATGACTCTATGTCAAATCCTTTTTGAGTTACATGCGACACATGTTGAAAATTACAAATTTTTACTAAGTCAAGGGCAATAACTCTAACAAGAGCTGTCACAGGAGACAGTGAAGCTTGACTAACAAGAATTTGTAACAGAGTTACCAACGTCCCCCGCCTCATGGTTTTTTATGAAGCATAAAATTGTGCTACTTCAAAAGATTGAGGTATGGATTTCAGGACTTTCAGTCCAAAATTATGATCAATTCTAGACCTGCAAATGCAACAATAAATTTATTAAAGAAATACTAGTAAAATGAAACACGGAATTTAAAATTCTATCATGTTAACCTTTGACCTCTAAGTGTGACCTTGACCTTGGAGGTAGGGGTGCAGGTGTTGTGCATGACATATCGTCTTATTTAAATATTACTATTTGTGCCAAGTATTTTCAAAATCCCTTTAACTATGTAGAAGTTACAGATCAGACACAAAATATACCCTATAACAGACTATGTCAATCTTTGACCTTTAAGTGTGACCTTGGAGGTAGGGACCCACGTTTTGTGCCTGACATATCATCTTATTCTTGTGATTATTTGTGCAAAGTATTTTTAAAATCCCAGGTTATGGACTGGACACAAAATATACCCTATTACAGACTATGTAAATCTTTGACCTCTATGTGTGACCTTGACCTTGGAGATAGGGACACATGTGTTATGCATGACATATCATCTTATCATTGTGACTATTTGTGCCTAGTTATTTAAAATCCTGAAGAAGTTCTAGATCAGACACAAACTAGAACTGCCACTATCATGGCTTGAATACCCCCGCATACCACTTTGTCAGAATCAACAGTGGCCATTTAGAGCTCAAGGACAACCTCCCTGCAAAATCTGAGGTTATGCCAGTGCATTGCTAAGTTATGTATTCTACATGCTTCAAATGTGAAAATGTCAAAATCAATAAATTGCGGACAGGACATTCTTTAGCAATTGAGAACAAAAGCTTTTTTTGTCAAGGTCCCTGTGACCTTGACCTTTGACCCAGTGACCTCAAAATCAATAGGGGTCACCTTATAGTCATGATCAACATCCATGCCAAATATGAAGACTGTGGGTCAAAGGAATCTTAAGGAGTGGACAAACTTTTTGAAGTCAAAGTCCCTATGACCTTGACCTTTGATCCAGTGACCTCAAAATCAAAATGGTCATCTACTAATCATGATCAACATCCATGCCAAATATGAAGACTGTGGGTCAAAGTAATCTAAAGTTATTGGGCAGACAAACTTTTTAAAGTCAAAGTCCCTGTGACCTTGACCTTTGACCTGGTGACCTCAAAATCAATAGGGGTCATCTACTAATCATGACTAACCTCCATGCCAAATATGAAGACTGTGGGTCAAAGGAATCTTAAGTTATTGGGCGGACAAGCTTTTTGAAGTCAAGGCCCCTGTGACCTTGACCTTTGACCTGGTGACCTCAAAATCAATAGGGGTCATCCACTAATCATGACGTACCTCCATGCCAAATATGAAGACTGTGGGTCAAAGGAATCTTAAGTTATAGGGCAGACAAGCTTTTTGAAGTCAAGGCCCCTGTGACCTTGACCTTTGACCTGGTGACCTCAAAGTCAATAGGGGTCATCTACTTATCATGACTAGCCTTCATGTCAAATATGAAGACTGTGGGTCAAAGGAATCTTAAGTTATTGGGTGGTCAAGCTTTCTGAAGTGAAGGCCCCTGTGACCTTGACCTTTGACCTGATGACCTCAAAATCAATAGGGGTCATGTACTAATCATGACTTACCTCCATGCCAAATATGAAGACTGTGGGTCAAAGGAATCTTAAGTTATTGGGCGGACAAGCTTT